TTTTTACATGGAATATGTTCATTTTTGAAATGGCTGAATATTTCCACCCAACTTTTATCAATTTCAACGTGTTTATTTTCCCATTGTATTAATTTTTCAGAATTTAAAAATACATTCAGTCTTCTAATGTCTTCAAAGAGACAATTGTTGTCTATTTTAATGTCTGGCATTTCTTTAGATAAAAACTCAACACAAGATTCAATATCTGTCCAATATACTTGCGAAGAAGTAAAAAAACACCATTGAAACTGTTATTTCCTGTGATGTTTGTTTCAGACCATTCTTCGATATATTGAAAACATGTTTGGTAAAAATTCTGCACTTCTTTGATAAACTTTTCTGTTATGGCTGGATTTGATTCCTCTAAGTCTGACAATTTTCTTTTTATAACTAAAGGAAGAAATTTTTCTTCAAATCAAGTTTTATATTGAAGGATAAGACGGAGAGGCTCAAATAATTGTAGAACACGCTCTATAGCAGGTGTTAGAGCAAGCCATCTAACTTTTGAATATCCTAAAAGTTTTTTGTATTGAACATTCGCTTCTTCACAAAATTGTTTTAAAGTAGCCACACGAATGGTAAAACGACTAAAATACAAATAAATTGTAGTTATTATTACTTCGACATCAATTGGCATGGCACATGACGCCGTGTTGATTGCATTTGACAAAATATGTACATTACAACCTATTCCTAGTATTTTCTTTTGAAGTAAATCTTGTAATTTTACATACACATTATTCACCCCTTTGCGTCTTCACCTGCCAAAATTTGTGTTTGTATTATCAGCTGTTAGTTCAACAACTTTGGATTTCAAATTGTTTTCATTTATTACTCTGTATAGATGGTTTGAGAAAATTTCAGCAGTTTCCCCCTCAATGGATTCTAAATTTAAAATTTTTACTTGAATGCCCTTGGTAACATTAAAATATCTTACTAGTATTGGATACAATTTAGTTTCATTATGATTGGATGCATCAGATAAAACTGTTACAAATGCTGCAGTTTCCAAGTCTTCTGTAAGTATTTTGTCACAGTAATTTTTAAATACTGATTTAATAATAGCCTCACATTTTGTCTTGGCGCATGAAAATTTAGCATCGTGAAACTTTTTCAATAATTTAGTTGTACAATCCATACTACGAAAACTTTGATTGTGAATTATGGTATGGTATGGAATGCAAATGTTCCCTCCATTGCAACTAACTGTTTTTCATCTTCAGAATACTTTGAAGTTTTAAAAAAACTTGTTACTTTACAACTGGAAGCAGATGCATCTGATGATTGCTTATGTTTCTTGGTGGTCAAGTGTTTCATAATAGCTGCTCTGCCCCCAACTGCAATACAAAATTCTCCGCTGCAAATATTGCAGAAAACAATGTTATCCTTCTTTGATGTGATGAATGGAAATTCCTTATTCAATTTATCGTTGAAATGGCATTTCCTCTTTTTTGATTTTTCCATCCCTAAATGGAAGTTAGTCTCCTCCAGGTTTCTTCGGGACTAACTACGAGATGGTGTAGTTGGGTAGCAGGGAGGGGTGCAAAGTTCCTGCCAATTCGCCTTAGTTGTAGACAACTTGCATGTGCAAAGTTTGCCAGCCGGGTATTTTGGCACGCTCAGCAGCAATTCCTATTGGCTTTCGAAAGCCAATAGGGGGAGTAGCAGAGCTCATGCAAAAGTTGAAAAAAAAACCCATCAAAAAAAGGTGCCAGAATGCCGTTCTGAGCGTTCTATGAGAACAAAAAACCGTGCAGATTAGTCTTCAAATATCGAAAAGGAGGACATGTAGGAGGACACTTTTCAAGGGAGGACAGAACTTAAAAAAGGAGGACTGTCCTCCCTAAAGGAGGACGGTTGGTCACCTTAATATTAAGGGTGTGTCTATTTAATACATTGCCATAGAAATTTTTAGAAATTTTAAAAGAGATATTGCAAATGTATGGATTTTTAAATAATGAGAGGTATATGCTAGGCATGAAAAAAGATTTTAACGTTAAAAAGATTTTAACTACCATAGTTAGTAAAACTGCATAGTACTCTAACAAAATTCTACTTTACACGGTAAAAAATAGACTAGATCTTGTATAATGTAACGATTTCAGACTGATTACCTTGGGGATGAAGAAGCCTTTGAAAGTTATGTCCTTGGTGGTTGCATGTGGCAAATTGCTTGGAACAATATCAGCAAACCTTTGAACTTCATGAATTACTGCATCGGTGTAAGACATTTTGGCTCGGTCTTCTGTCCTTGGCTCACGAACCCCAATCTCTTTTGCAATTTCTTCTTGGACCCTCCCTGGCAGAAGAAATCAATAATATACATTTAAAAATAGAGTTGTGGGCATTTTTAGAGACTTGTACTAAAATAAATAAATAAACCTGATCATATATCAAAGAAAAAAATAGAAGGTATAAAATGTTATTGTTAGTGACAATTTCTAAATATGGTAAGGATTTTTTGTAGACATTTTCAATCTGCTTAAGTGCAGTCAGAAATATTTCTTCTGCAACATTAGAAGAGAAGGCTATGAATCCATGGACATTTTAATAGAGATTTGGTGATACTAATATGTGATTTCTGTCGATTTCTTTTTTATTTATTAGATTTGTATCCTATCTTTATCATTTTATAAGTAATTCAAGGTGGCAAACATTCCTAATACTCCTTCCTCCTCCTATTTGCTCCCAAAGGACAACCCTATGAGGTGGGTTGGGCTGAGACTGACTGGCCCAAAGTCACCCAGCTGGCTTTCATACCTAAGGCAGGACTAGAACTCACAGACCCTGGTTTCTAACTTGGTGTCTTAACCATTGAACCAAATTCCAGTTCTCAAGCCAGAATGAAATGTTAAGTGGACCATGTAGAGATGTGTCATGGTCTTGAGCATAGCTAAAATACATTATTGTTCATAGAAAATTCTATCAGTCTTGGTTTATTGTAGGATGGGAGCATAATGGATGCAGAATTTACATGTAGTAATAGATATGCAAACAATGGAAATATCAATAGAAAAAAGAGCATCATATTTACACTGAATGTGATACACAGAGAAACTTGGTGTAAGATATTTTATCACTGGACTTCATTGTACTCCGGAAAGCTAAAATGAATACTTACTGCAAATTGTTCAAAATCTAATGATCACAACAGATCATTTTTCCATATTTGGTGGCAATGCACTATAGCACAATAATTTTGTTAACTAATTATATTAAAATAAAACATATTTAAAAGTTGAATTTCCTTTTCAAACTATGATATCTTTATTAAACTTTCCAAGTCATAAATTCCCATAAAGATTTCTGAATTAGTTCTGTATATGCTAATTGCTGCAAAAATATTTTATGTTTTTTATTGGAATGGATACTTGATCTCCTTTCCAGAAGCATCACTATCTAAGCTTTAGGAAATAGAGTGAAAAGCAATAAAATGAAACATACTCTGAATTTCTGGGAATTTCATCATTAGAAGTATGGCCCAGTGCAGAGTATTTGAAGTCGTTTCCATACCAGCAGCAAATAAATTACTCACAACACTTCTAAAGTTTTCATAGTGGAAATATCCCTCAGTTGTCTTCTTCTTCTCCTGAAATGTACCAAGAAAAAACACCAGCAAGGAAACCTAGTGTATTGATGTGATGTAAATTCCAGAAGGCTGAAAGATTACTTCTTGAATGGATAATATATTTCCCTCAGTGGTGGGATTCAGCTAGTTTGCACCAGTTTGGTAGAACCTCTGGAAGCGGCATCCACACAGAGAACTAGTTGTTCACATATTTGAATCCCACCACTGATTGCCCTCCAAATGTGCTCCCTTTTACAAAACAACAAAGGACTATTGCAATTGTAGCCCCAAAACAAATTGCGAGACACTGTGCTTCAAACATTAACTGGAATGAAAAAAAAAAGGTGAAACTCTAGAAAAGTCATATATTTAAAGCCAGTAGATGTTCACATGCTGCACTGAAGGGTTCACCCTAGGTATCCCCAAACAGAAATTCCCTGGAGTCACCCAGAATAGAATTTCCTTGGAGCCCTCTAGAATAGACTCTATCCTTCTCCATTGAGGATATTTTTAATGGGGAAATTTAATTGGCTGTAGCTTTAGTGCTGCAGATTGTGAAACAAAGAAATGAAGAAAAACATGTAACTGCCAGAAATTAGTTTTCTTCTACTTTCCTAAAGCAAGGGTCTTAAACAACCTGCATGTAGTTTATATGGAAGTACCTTTTTCAAAATATGTAAAATAAATATTAATAATTCCAAGCATGTATAAATAATCCATTACCTGTCTTTGTTGAACAAGAAATGAATCAATAAAACTCCTCTGGTCATTTTCACCAAGCTCACTGAGATGTTGTTTAAAAGTGGCCTGTAGGAAAGCATTGAGTTCCTTTCTATTGTTCAGTCTTGTCTTACAAGAGTTCAAAAGAGCCCCCAACCTCGGAAACATATTATATATCTGAAATAATGACAGAAGAAAAATATATTAAGGAATTTGAATACTTTGAGTACGTTTCCCAGGTGGACATTGAATGAATACATGTGGTCCATATGTCTATAAAAATAAATCACAATAATTAGCAAAAACATGATTGAGAGAGAACTATGGATAGTCAGTATTTCTAATTCACCGAGGCCCAAATCCCAAGGATTGAAATTCCACACAGTTATTGGAAGAATAGTGCTTATTTTCTAACATATTATTGAATGAGCTCCTCTTGCTCACATCCTGTTGATTCCGCAATAATCAATGGGGATGACCAGCATAAGAAGCCAAATTAAATCCTAGTCAGTTTAGTACATTTAGGATTGTGCAGTATAAAGGGGGAAAAAAGATGGAGAAGCTATTTGCAATGAAAGCTCCCATCCTTCCCATCTCAGCGTATTCACAAGCAGATAGGAAGGAGAGAAAGGAAATGTTGAAGTGTGCATCATGAAGTTGTGATGTCATGTTCATGTTATCCTTTGGATACAGTTTTGCTGCATATATCCATGACAGGCAGTGGTGGGATTCAGCCGGTTCACACTGGTTCAGTTGAACCAGTAGCTAGTTTTTTGTTGACTTCGGCAACCGGCTAATGCCCTAGCTCTTTTTCACAAGGCCCAGAACGGACCACCGGAAGTGCATGGACACCACTTCCGGAAGTTCGTTCTGAGCCAGGGAGGTGTCCCCCAAGGCTCAGAAGGATCTTCCATAAGTGACGTCCACGCAGAGAACTGGTTGTTCAGGTATTTGAATCCCACCACTGATGATAGGCAATATGCTTTGCAATAATAGAGTTAAGCCTTTTTTAAGTATACGTACAGAATTATATATGGCAGTGAAAAAAGAGCTCAATGACACACATTATGCTGCCTATATATCACAATTTTTTCTTAAACTGAAAAATCAGATTACCAGCATATCAAAGGTTCTTGAAAGTTGAATATTTTCATTGAATAGCTTCAGTAGTCGTAGAAATGTGACA